GCTCTCCCAGATGTACTGCCTCGTAGGATTGTTTGGAAAGCCCCCATCTCCCTTCGAAACCTCCTCACTTGCATGCTTGTTTTGACAAGCCGCTCGTCGTCGTTGTGCTTGCTGACGACGCGGACCTTGTCCGAGACGAGGTACGCGCTGTAGAAGCCGACGCCGAACCTGCTCGGGATGGGACTTGGGGTAGGTCACAACGTTGGGGGTTTCAAGGGTGGGACGGAGATGGGACAAGCTCGGGCTGGGGGCAGCAGTGCAAAAAAAAGCAAAGGTTTGTCGCTTTCCGAACACGGGCCTGAACTCCCCTTGAACTACCCGAGCCTCCTACTTCATGACCTAAGGTCGGAGACATCAACCCGTGGCATCCCAGAAGCTGGCCGATCATGGAGATGTCGCCGCCGGCTGCCATGGCCTGCCGTGGGACTGCTCCGAGAAATCGTTGCTGCCTACAGCCTTCACAAGCCCTCAAATGCTCCGGGGTTTAGGGGTTTTGGGTTTTTTTTTCAATTGGGGTGTCTCTTTTACGTCTGCCCGAAGTAGGGTTTTAGGGTTTAGCGTTTAGGGCTTTAGGTTGTAGGTTTTTTGTTTAGGGTTTTAGGGCTTTGGGGTTTGAGGGTTAAGGGTTTAGGATTTAGGGCCCCTGTCTCCTGGCCTCCATGAAGGCTTTGGTGCCGGACTTGGCCTCTGCATGGTGGAGGTAATGTAGGGGCAATGTCGGGGCCATAATAATTGGAATAGTAGGGTTTTGGGCTCCGATATATGGTATATCTATAATAATGAACCCTAACAGTAATATTGGTAATTTGAATTTAGGCTTCTCTATTACGGGGCTTCGCAGTCCAGTCTTGCTGCGAAACATCCAGTTCTGAAAAGCGCCGACCTCAACCAGAAAGCAGGGAACATCGGAGATAAGTCGATCGAGCGACAATCGTCCCGAGGTTGTTGATCAACTCCTCAGGATTCGTTTGCATTCGCCCTGCTTCTGAAGTCTGAGAGGCGGCGATGAGGATACATAGACTTACCAAGGACCCGTAGCCTGCGTTTTCCAAAAGTGCTGCGCAAACCTCTTGCAGAAGAGGCTTCTACAGCCTCTGCGCTTGACAACGCGCCCCTTTCAAGAACCTTGCCACGATTCCACCCCGTCTTAAGTCTGCAGCAACCTCCAATTTAATGAAGGCCGAGGAGCGTTCTTGGTCATGCCGATGCCGGAGTCTTCGATGGTCAAAGTCGAATTGGTCTTGTCCGGGATGATCTCAGGTGCACGAGACCATCAAGCTGCAGGCACTGGGCGAATAGTCACGGGTATGGAACACTGCCCATCGTCCCAACAAGCTGCACGCGAACACACGATTCCGAAACAGGCCCAGGAGCTTTGATGAAGAAGTTGGGCTGCGCCTGCACTGGGGGGAGAATATATCGATGCTTCTATTCTTCAGGATTATGCACTTTCGCTGTCACAACTGCATGTTTGTGATACCATGATGCCAACCCATCTGAGAATAAATGTTCCTCTGACGATTGCCCCCATTGACTCAGCAGACGCATCTGACCGGAGTCCGCATGTCTCAACGCTGTGCGCAGTCCCCACGTTGCCTCGATCTTGTCTGGATCAGTGATCGATTCGTAGCGGATCTTGTCCAAAGCCTCTGTTTCAACTCTTATGGCTAGGGCTGTCATCTGAATTTCGAGTGAGGAGCCAGCCAAGAAGTCAGCCCGATGCCCCAGCTCCAACGTACTTTCTGCTGCGAGCTGCATCCGAGGCGTTGGAGATGAGCTCACGCAGGAAGATCTCCTTGTTGGAGTAGAAGGTGTTGATGATCAAGCCTCGACAACAGATAGAACACGCTAAACCCACCTTTTCACACATTGTTTTTTGCTCTCGGATCCAGCATTAGTGCATATAAAGTCACACGCACACCTTTCGGGCATCTGCTTATGATTGCTTATGAATCGAAGACCTGAAGACCTAGTAGCGAACATCTGTTGGTCGTTGGAGAAATGCGGATCTTTTCGGACATTACATGACAGGTCTACAGTCTACCTGATGGCATGTGCCCGGCAACTCATCAGCTGCTGGATGTCCGCGTTGAATGCGAAAGTCTCCGCCATGATTGTCCTTGCTTTGGATCTTGCAACTTACGACATCCGAGCGGTTGCGGGAGGGTTAGCTGGTTGGCTAGATCGGGGTTGGGAGACTGATCAAAAACAACGATCGCCCCACGTCCCTGAAACGCCAGGACTATTAGGAAAACCTCCCGCGAGCCACAATTCAAAGCCAGCAGTCGTCGAAGCTTTTCGAGCGTTCAGACGTCCGTGAAAGACAAAACTTGAGCCGATGGTGCTGCAAAGCATGCCTGAGTCTACGAGCCTCATGATCATGATGCCGCAAGGACACAGCACACTTTCCGTAGAGCTCTCCACGACAGAAAATTGGAGTTGTGCAAGCTGGTGCGACCCTATGCAGCCGTCGTCGCACTTTCGCTTCGCAGTCGATCCTCTGAAACAGGTTTCTTGCCAAACTCTGCCTGCTGTACAGTCGGCCGAATCTGGAGACTGTGTTGGGGGGATCATGCACAAGTGCGCACCGACGGCTGCGGTACGAACTACTGGGTGGCTCAGGCATCCTAGTCCTAGTCCTAGTCGACCTCCTCCATCTTGGAGGCCTCGTCGGCCGCACCCTCGACTTCCTCAAGCGGGGGCAG